TTTAAGCAGCCTAAAACAATAGGATATTGCATTTGTTTAAGTTACCAAGTGATTTGTGTTTTGCAGTTACACTACTTGTTTCTTCATCTTATATAGTATTGTGCAACACTCAGAAACAGACAATCAGAAACAGTATTTCCAAGGGATTATTTAATGAAGAATGGCTTGGATCACCCCATATACTGTAAACAATTTGTACAAGCTCTGTACTGAAGCAATTCCAGGATAAAACATTGCTCAACTGTCATTTAATCCCCCCTGAGATTCTGTAAAATTAAGAGAGGAGGAAAAGATACATAGTCCCAGGTATGGGAAAGAAACAGAGAAATCCAGTGTGGAAGAGCTCTCCAAGGAAAGCTGCAAGTGGAAGAGGTAAGGAAAGAAAAGGGGACAAGGGCAACTCCTTGAGAAATTCCAGTTGCTGCTCATGAGGATATATGAGTACTTTACCAGTGTCCAAAAGAAAAGCCAACAGCTGCCATAGCTAGAAGAAAAACTAAGAATTGAGTCAGCAAACCCTTATTTAGGTAAATTATTCTTAATGCTTGTAAAAAATCTCTTAGGGGTTAAGGGATTTTCTTGGAAACGGTAGGACAGCAGCAGAGAGCTAAAAACTTCCTCTTAAAGGGCAAAAGAAGATTCTCCAGGTTGTGTAATTTGTCCTCCTTTATCAAACATTTATCTCCAGAAAGACTCAAGGCCACATACATAAAGCAGCTCCATTCAGAGTTGCAGAGGTACTGATGTCCCCACAGACTCTAACAGCCTCCTGTGTCTGGCATTCTTGTCAAATCAATCAGGATTTTTAACAGATTAGGTCCGAATTCCTTTCCCTTAATCCCAAACTCACCCACTTCTGCCCCTTCAACTCCTTTTCTCTTCCATATCTTACATTAAGTAGAGTTTTTCTAGGGCTCAGAAATAACTCATTTTAGGTGGCGTACATATTCAGTGATTCAGTCTTTGATGAGTAACAAAACTAACTTTGACTTAGGAATTTGGGACTGGCTTCAGTAGGACCTGCGTCTGAATAAAGTCCCCAGAGCTGCAAAAAAATAAACATGCATTAGCTAAGAGCAATTCAGAACTTCTGTGCTTCTAGAAACAAAAGAAATGAGAAGAATAATAAAGAGGTAGACAGGAGGCCAGTTTGTGGCATATAACAGAGATCAAGGGCCTGATCATCCATTGCCTGCATTTCATACAACACTAATCCATTGGTGTGATAAAATGTTTTATCCAAAATATGCTTGACTGTAAGGGATTAATCAAGGTCACATAGAATCAGAGCCTAGAAAATGGAGTGAACATTCATTGTATATAGTAAAAGTAATACTCAAGCTGTAATAGATACAATTGTAAGCCAAGATTGCAAATATCCTGGTACAGGTGGACCAGCTGGTACTACCACAACACAAGAAAATATCTAAAATAGATTTTTCTTTCTCTCCTTTCTAATTTCACTTTCTTTTTAATAGTGATGTAACTTCTGAAGACCAAAGAGAAACGGAAAAAAAATAATGCTGTCCTCTTACAGCATAACATAAATAAATAAAAAACTGCACCAGGACTGCAAGAATTCCTGGGCTCATGCCTTAAACTGTGAATCTGCAGCTCACTACAGTGGAAATGTGCTCCTTCCTCTGTAGTGCCTGCTATCAGCCAGGAAACAATCCCACTTGCAGAATGATGTGCAGTGCACTGGGCCCGTGCTCCCTCACTGAACGGATGAGGAACAGCAAGGTGGGTGCAGGCCACCTGCAGTGGAGCTAACAAGTGGCACAGTGTGTCACCTCCAGCAACACCACACTAAGGTGTTCTACCAATAACCTTGCAGCATCTGGCTGCCTTGAGGAGTGGAATCTGTTCTGTTTGCTCCAAAGTAAATGGCAATCTCTCACCTTGACTGCCATACAACTAGTTCAAGTGCTGCATCCAAGAAAATCATAGAATCATAGAATCATAGAATCTTAGGGGCTGGAAGGGACCTCGAGAGATCATCTAGTCCAACCCCCCTGCCAGAGCAGGGTCACCTAGAGTACATCACACAGGAACTCATCCAGGTGGGTTTTGAATGTCTCCAGTGAGGGAGACTCCACAACCTCCCTGGGCAGTCTGTTCCAGTGCTCTGTCACTCTCACAGTAAAAAATTTTTTTCGGATATTCACCTTGAATCTCCTATGCTCCAATTTACACCCATTACCCCTTGTCCTATCACAAAATAATCTAGTAAAGCCTGGGTATTAGGCAATCAATTACCACAGTAACCAGGAAAAAGGTAAATTTACCTGCTGGCAATGGCAAATGCCCAGCACTATAATCCAGAGCTCAAGTAACTGATCCAAGATGGTCCTTACCACCCAGATCCAATACCCTGAACACTCTTTGCAGGGAGAAGCCGATGTCTTTTCTTTTACATGAGACTGATGAAGGAGGGAAGGATGGCCATCCAGGTGAGACAAGCCACTTCACCACAGCCGACTGGCTGTACAGCACGTGAAATTTGGCTTCAACCTTATGATGGTGATGGAGAGATCAAACCACATAGTCTCTCTCCTGAATACTGTAAGAATGGAGCTCTCATTTCTCCTCTTTGAAGCTGGCCAATGTGCTAGACTTGGACTGCAAGGTCCCCCCAGTTCACCCCAGAGATGGGGCTGAGGGTAGGGAAGCTCAATTTTTGTAGCACTGCTTCGAAAAAGTAGTTTTGACACCTCTGTTGCTTGGCAGTGGCAGGGAGAAGCATAGTGCACTCTGAGGCACACAGAGCTAGTCTGAGCAAGAGGTAGTACCACTGGCTGGAGGTGCCCAGGACAGCAACAACAGCCAGAATTGCACTTCTTAGCAAAGACAGATGTAGCAGCCAGACAAGACTGGGATCACACCCGCAGCTGTACTGACTCCCAGCATCTAATTTTGTCTAATCTGTGAAGGCTACTGAAACATTTCATTTTCTTCTGACGACGTGATTGTACAGAATCTGAACTAAACACTGTGTTTTTAAATTTTTGCTTGGTACAGCAAAACCGACGAAAACAAGGCATTATGATTTCCTGGGGACTGCTTCTTCGATGCCTGGGGGGTTTGCAGCCCCGCTTCGTACTGGGGATCCAGAAAGTCCGGGTAAACGGAGCGCGGCACCCACACCCTTCCTAGCCAGCCTTCCCGAGCGGGCAGAGGTATCAGATTTAAGAGTAAAAAAGCGCCGTGAGCGGGAGAGAAGCGAGCGCAGGGCGGTGGCAAGGCCGGAGGGCAGCGGGGCCGGCCGGGGTGCGAGCTGCCCGGCGCTTCCCTTCCTCCTTTCCCCCCGAGCTGGTGTCAAGGTATTGCGAGGAGGGGTAGGGGCCCGGGGAGGAGATGGCTGGAGGCTTTCCAGCCCCGGCTCACGCAATGCAAACTCCGCACGCAACGGGGAGGCGACAGGCGGAGGAGGGGAAGCTCTCCGGCTTCCTCAGCCCCCAAGATGCAGGCGAGACTTTGCCTCCCGAGAGGGAGGGCTGCGAGCCCGCCCGCCACTCTGCTCCCCTCCCGGCACCTCCTCCGTGAAAACTTTTCGCCCCGGCCATAAAAGCCTCCGCGGCTCAGCCGCTCCACTTGGCAAGGGCCCAAGGGCAGCTGGCAAATAGCTGCGACCTCTCAGGCCAGTGGAAGGGCCAGGCAGCGGTGATTTGTCAGCGGAGCTAACAGCGGCACGCCCGCGCCGCGCACCGCCCATGCCGGCGGGGGTAAA